CTAGAGATGGAGCCAGAGAGAAATAGTCCATAGCAGGGTAGATGTGTCCTCACCAAGCAGTGCAGTGTATGAGGTGAGTGCAGTTATATATACCCTGTGCGTTCACTGTGCCCTCTCACCCCATTGCAGGATGCCGGATCATACACCCCCCTAGGGATGGGGGGATCCGTTACAGGGGTCTCACCCTTTCTCAGGTAAAGGCGGTTGAGATGCTCCCGGTGGATTATGAGATTGAATTTGTTTGCCGCGGAGAACGGGAGATTTCTGGTCCAAAAGTACGCAAGTGCCAGACGGACGGAACCTGGACAGATATGGACAAGCCCAGCCGCTGTCGTAAGTTTCTCTTAGATTTTTTTCCTTAGGTGCCCATAGGTGGCCATCTGTCTCACCTGTCTCCAAACCTGTGAATGTACCTTGCAGCTTGGTTCATGGATAATGCTGCATACACGCAGCTAATACTTCCACCCCTTTACAGGTGAAACTCGAATAATTAGAATATCGTGCAAAGTTCATTTATTTGACTAATGCAACTTATGCGGTGAAACTAATATATGAGAGAGACTCATTACATGCAAAGCAAGATAGTTCAAGCCGTGATTTGTCATCATTGTGATGATTATGGCTTACAGCTCATGAAAACCCCAAGAACCCCAAATCCACAACCTAAAAAAAGTAGATTATTACATGCAATCAATAAAACAAGGATTGTACATAGAACAATATCGGACCTCTGAAAAGTACAAGCATGCATATGTACTCAGTACTTGGTTTGGGCCCCTTTTGCAGCACTTACTGCAATTACTTTTGCACGATATTCTAATTAGTCGAGTTTCACCTGTACTGTACAGACAAGTGAGGGATCAGGGCCCCCGGCACAGTGCCAAACAAGTGTATCTGATGGCAAGTAGTGCCTGTTATTTGTATAGGTGGGCCCATATGGCCTGATCCTCACCCAGTCACCTACAGCAATGCTCATCAAGGCCGGAAAGAAGCTGTGTAGGGCCTTATAATTCTGCCGTTTCTTTCATTACCCTCTATTGTGACCTCAGGGAAGAGTGGCTGCATTCTATTGGGACCTCGTGGTAAAGGTGACTGCACTCTATTGGGACCTCATGGTGGAGTGGCTGCACTCTATTGGGATCTCATGGTGGAGTGGCTGCATTCTATTGGGACCCTGTGGTAGAGTTTATTACACTCTATTGTGACCACATGGTACAGTGACTGCATTCTTTTTGGTCCTTGTGCTAAAGGTGCCTGCACTCTTTTTGGACCTCCTGGTAAAGGTGACTGAACTCTCTTTGGTCCTTGGGGTAAAGGTGACTGCACTCTATTGGGACCTCATGGTAGAGTTTATTACTCTCTATTGTGACCACATGGTACAGTGACTGCATTCTTTTTGGTCCTTGTGCTAAAGGTGCCTGCACTCTTTTTGGACCTCCTGGTAAAGGTGACTGAACTCTCTTTGGTCCTTGGGGTAAAGGTGACTGCACTCTATTGGGACCTCATGGTAGAGTTTATTACTCTCTATTGTGACCACATGGTACAGTGACTGCATTCTTTTTGGTCCTTGTGCTAAAGGTGCCTGCACTCTTTTTGGACCTCCTGGTAAAGGTGACTGAACTCTCTTTGGTCCTTGGGGTAAAGGTGACTGCACTCTATTGGGACCTCATGGTAGAGTTTATTACTCTCTATTGTGACCACATGGTACAGTGACTGCATTCTTTTTGGTCCTTGTGCTAAAGGTGCCTGCACTCTTTTTGGACCTCCTGGTAAAGGTGACTGAACTCTCTTTGGTCCTTGGGGTAAAGGTGACTGCACTCTATTGGGACCTCATGGTAGAGTTTATTACACTCTATTGTGACCACATAGTACAGTGACTGCACTTTTTTTGGACCTCATGGTAAAGGTTCCTCCTCAGCCAGTCCCTGGCCCCGCCCCTTTCATTAATTGGATCTCAGTTGTTTCAATCATAGAGACTCAGCATCACACGAGGGGCGTTACCACAGCTTCCTGGTATAACTAAGCTATGTGCAGTACCCTGCTGGCCCCTCCCATAAGCCATGATCTGCCTGCACAGTATAGGGAAGCACAGAGGCCGATTGATGACATCACTGGATCTAAAACAAGATATATAATGAAATCAGAAAGTTTCTTTTGAAAGAGAGGAGAAGGACCGGGGAATGCAAAATATAAGCAGAATAAACCTCAGCTTTACTTTGCCAGGACATGCTTTTTTAAGGCCAGCTTGCTTTTTTATGTAGCCTTCTAAGTGGCTCATTTGACTTGGTGACAACGCAGCAATACAACTGGGAGACAGGTGTCACCCTACAACAGAAGGTGCCCTAAACAAGGACCTTCTAGGCAGGACCGGCAGGTATTATTTTAGGGATAGCTAGAATAAACAGTAAGGGACCCAATACTGAACCTTGGGGGACACCACTAACAACCTCAGACCATTCAGAGTAGGAATAATTGATCACCACTCTCTGAATACGGTCTTTAAAGGAGAACTCTATGTATGCAAACCGTTAACCCTTGCAGTGGGGCTACCCCCGCACTGCTTGCTTTTCTCTAGGGGGTGGAATACAGAAGATATACTCACCTGATCCTCGGTCCTGTGGCAGCTAGTGCTCACCTCTCTCCCCCTCCAGCTGTGGTATTTACCCTTGGCACCCTCACGTCTAATGCAAGTGAATAGACTGACATCAGTGGGGTTTAGACCACTGGAACCCGGGGGAGAAGAAGCTGCTGGACTGGTCAAGCAGCCAGGTGGGACAGAGGATCAGTTGAGTGTATTTCTTTTATTCTAGCCCCTAGAGAAAAATGAGCAGCTAGCCCCACTGCAAGGGTTAAAGGAGAACTATGGGGTCAGTGTTTTTCCCCATAGTTCTCCTTAGGGTAACGGGAGGACACAAACTAGCGCCCTCCCGTTACCCTAAGCTCAGTATACCGCGAGCTACAACTCGGGGTATACTAAGACGCCGCAGCCGGAGCGGATCCCAAAATCGACGTCGAGATCCGCCCAGCTGCATGAGTGACAGCTGGCTCTGCCTATCTAGAGGCAGAGCCAGCTGTACCCGCCCCCTCCCCCGTCCGTTCTGCCAGTCAGCGCTGGCGGATCGGAGCGGGGAGAGGGGAATCCAGCCCCTCCCCTGTCACGGCAGAGAGCCGTGACAGGATCGAGAGGTGAGCGAACCCGGTATGTGTTCGCTCACCTCCCGATCTACTGAGCTGACCTGTGACAGTCTCATTGTCACAGGTTGGCTAGAACTATGAGGTGAGTGAAAAGCACTCACCTCATAGTTCTCCTTTAAAGCTTATATGACCCTATCCGAAACTAGAATAAAAAGTTTGGGGCCGGGGTTCTGCTTCTCCTGCTTCTCATCTCTGACTCTTGTCTTTCCTCCTCCCTCGCAGTGCCCACCTGCCCTCGCATGCACCTGAAGCTGGAGAACGGGCAGGTGGATGTCAGCATGACAGGCCGGGTACCGATGGAAGGCACGAGTATCCGCTTCCGATGTGACCCAGGATTCCTGCTGGTGGGCTCCAGCCACAGCATGTGCACCAAATTCGGGAAGTGGGACCACCCTAAACCTGCCTGCCAAGGTGAGATGAGAAGGAGGTAAAAATGGTTGCTGGGATGAGGGGAGGGGATTCCTTCAGGAGGCTTTAGCAGACATACGCCCCGGGTCTCTGCTCGTTATTTGGTCTCTTTAGCACAGACATCAATATGGTTTTTTAAAAAATTCTGAACTAGCTAATGAAAGATCTTAGCCATCCAAGTGCTCGGTGCTTTGCTAAATGTAAAGGTCGCTGTCAGATTGATGGCGGAAGGGACGGTGTTCTATCGAAAGTTCCAACTCCTCGAGTTCTCCAACCATCTGACTTCCGGTATAGTTAGAAGTGAGAGATTTGGCCGAGAAGGCTGTACTGCACGTGGGCCACCCGCGGCATTTCCCTACACACATACTGTACTACACAGCAATAAAGTATTAACATGAACTAGGGTCAGACTAGTCCAGCACGTTATTAATCTCAGTTGCCCTACTCAATATGGCAGCCGCTTGCGTGTAGGTAGGTGCAGTACGGCCAACGGCCACTAGATGCCCCCATGGGGAACTAGAGATAGATGTAGCTCTGGCCTGGGGAGACTCTGTGTCCCAGGAGAGTTGATTTATAGGGGGCGCCAGAGAGGGGAAGGGAGTTCAGAGCAGTACAGGAGAGCAGAAGTCTAAGACTGTATGCAGAGTCTCCGGAGGGAGACTGATTCTAAAACATAGGCTGGTCCATGGGAAGGACAGGACCAGGCCTAGGACTATGTAGAGCTACTGAGATTCCCCAGTTTCCCCTGGAGGGGGAAACCACCGAGCTAGGACTGACAAGGATAGGATTCCGGAGAATAGTGAGAAGCTGTAGTACTGACGATATTTGCCAGTGGGCCTCTGGCCGAAGTCGTGGACTCTGGGCTGCACCTGGGCTGTTCTCTCTCTCTAATCTGTATCACTATGCAACTATCAAGTGATGTGCCGTCATCCCACCCGGGGGTGGCTGAACGTATACTTCATTGTCATGTTCATTCTGTCAAGACTATCTGTGTGGACTGGTTCTTCTCCCTCCAACCTCTGAGAAGGTGGGGTTCTACAGGAGTGTGATGTTGGACTGTATCGTGGCTGTAACCATCCGGAAGAGGGTAGGTGTGCAATGGGGCTATGCCCGACATAGGGTGCCTTTTCATGGTGGCCTTTCTCCCTACGGGGGAGGAAGCGCCGAATACCGCAGAGGCGGTAGAAGCCATGAGGCCCTGTGTGCGCAGTACTACACGTGGGGGAGTGTTTGCACGAGGCCGAGGCCCCTGACCGTGGGGTGCCTGGTGTCGAGTTGCATGCACGGCGTTACCAGAGCCAAACAAAAGGGAACTCACACGCAAGACCCCGAGAGTGAACCCCGCCTACATGTGGACATATTGAGTGGGGCAACTCTGATTAATAACGTGTTGGATTACTGTAAACCTAGTTCATTTTAATGCTTTATTGCTGTGTAGTATGTGTATAGGGAAATGCCGCGGGTGGCCCAAGTGCAGTACAGCCTTCTCAGCCAAACCTCTTACTTCTAACTATACCGGAAGTCAGATGGTTGGAGAACTCGAGGAGTTGGAACTTTCGATAGAACACCGACATACACATAGATGGGCTGGAAGCTGATGTGTGGTTCTGGTCATGGGAAGTTTTGAATCACTTATGGTCACTAGATGGAGCCAAAGGTAATCGGAAATCAATACATCTCTCCTATACTCTTCAGCTCCATCTAGTGGCATCTTCTGGTACTTTCCTGATTCGCTCTAATCTTATGAATGAATTACAATCAGCCTGGAATGTAAATATACTAATAACATTGGGTTTTGCCTCCATTCGCACAGAACGAATCTACATTGCAGTTTCACAGGAGGAATGGCCCTGCAATTTTTTTAAATAAATACACACCATAGTGTATGGCCAGCCTTAGTCAGTTAAATCTTTTTTGTAGCTGACCATAGATGATAATGTACAAAGTCTTCCACTTTTCTTCTCCCTAAAAGCATTGACTAATAATTTCTGCCATCTTCATCAAAATCTAACATTTCAACGGAGGGAAATGAAGATGGAGCTTTCCTTTCCTTTTTTTTTCCTGATCTCACCAATTTTGGTGGCTTACAACGTTCAACATCAAACTTTTAAATTGGAGAACAAGAGGAGAATTTTAGGATAGGAAAGAAAAGCAATCATTTCGACAGTCCTTTGGCTTAAACCAGGGGTGGACAACTCCGGTCCTCCAGCTGTGCTTTAACTACAAATCTCAACATACCTCTGAGAGTCATGCCTGTAACTGTCAGTCTTGCAATGCCTCATGGGACTTATAGTTCCACAACAGCTGGCTTGAAGCAAACCTGTGCAAGGCAATGCAGCTTGTTTAAAGCTGAACTTCAGGCATGCAACTTTTCAATATATTCCTCAATAGCCACAAAGGATATAAATTAGAGGTGCACGAAATGGAAATGCTAAAACCGACATCCCGCTCTCCCCTCTGACACGCTGTCACAGGAGGCTGAGCGAGCGGTGTAGGGAGGAGAGCATTATGCCAAATGCCAAAACTGCCATTTTCGCCCGATATGTTTCGGCGGCCGATATATCTGTGCATCCCTAATATAAACCCACTTTACATGTGCCAAATGCCTTTGGAAACCTGGATTTTACCTTGTAAAAGTACTCATGACATCATCACTGTGCTGTGCATAGCCTGTGCAGAACAGACCTGTGAGAGGTTGAGTTGAATCTTTATAATAAGAAAAAAACATTGTCCCTGTGGTCTTTTTTTTTAAGCTCTAATGTGAAGATGTCAACACTCCCACTCTTGGTGAGAAGAAAAAATGGTCCGTGTTATGGGCTGTTCAATAAACTCCAATATACATTGAGTGTCCAGATTATTATGACCACCTGACATTTGTAGGCAAATTAGCTATAATTTGGCGCTGAAGTTGCTAGAGGGCCAGACCATTATAAATAGGGAAGCGGGTTGTTTACCACGACAGTAGAAGTGATTTGTTTCTGAAGATCCGGGGTTAAGGCTTTTCCCCATAGTTCTCCTTAGGGTAACGGGAGGACACAAACTAGCGTCCTCCCCTCACCCTAGGCTCAGTATACCCGCGAGCTGTAGCTCCGGGTATACTGAGACGCCGCAGCCGGGACGGATCCCGACAATTATGCCGGGATCCACCCAGCTGCGTGACTGACAGCTGGCTCTGCCTATCTAGAGGTTGAGCCAGCTGTACCCGCCCCCTCCCCCGTCCGTTCTGCCAGTCAGCGCTGAAGGATCGGAGCGGGGAGGGGGGAATCCAGCCCCTCCCCTGTCACGGCAGAGAGCCATGACAGGATCGAGAGGTGAGCGAACGCCGGTATGGGTTCTCTCACCTCCCGATCTACTGAGCCGACCGCTGACAGTCTCATTGTCACACGTCGGCTAGAACTATGAGGTGAGTGAAAAGCGCCCCCCTCATAGTTCTCCTTTAACAGCCTTTGAACGTGGGATGATTGTTGGCGCTCGGGGCCATGGAGCGAGTATCAGCAAAACAGCAGAATTAGTTAATTGTTCAAGAGCGGCTGTTGTTAAAGTGTTTAAAGACCGGACTGTCAGCCGAAAATCTGGGTCTGAACATGCGAATTGTGGTCGTCAGCGACTAGTCAATGTTAGGGCAGAACGGGGGAGGGGCAAGACTGGTACAAGACAACAGAAGGGCAACAGCGCCGTGTCAGATTCCTCGCATCACCTTTCAACATCTCGTGGAGTCACGAGGCGGCCCAACGAAGTTATCTGGTGGCCCAACGAAGTACTGATGGGGGGTCATAATAATCTGGCCACTCGGTGTATATAGAAGTCTTTCAATAGGAAAAATAAATAGAAATGTGAAATAAATGTTGTCACGTCGTCAAAAATCAAACAGCCTCCACCAAGCGCCTCTCACCTGATGGTCGGACCTCGTAATTAAACTGAGGTCTAAATGCACTTGTTTCCCTCTTCTGGGTAATGAATGGAATGCTGACCCCATTGTAAAGTGTTCCGTCATATGAGATAGAAGAAGTCAATGGACGCAACGTGTTGGACGGAGTTTTCATTGACTTCTTCTGAAGTCAATGGACAATGCGTTGGGTGGAGGTTCCACTGACTACTAAAGAAGTCAATGGATGCAATGCGCTTGGCGAAGTTTCAGATGATGTCATCCTGTTAGACGGCATCTGAAACTCCGCTCCACTGACTTCTTCAGTCATTTTGGGTCATTTCAGATAAAGCCATCCCTATGGACGTCACCTGGAATTCCACTCTATTGACTTCTTCAGAAGTCAAAAGGACACAATGTTTTGGGTGGAGTTTCAACTGACTTCTTCAGAAGTCAATGAATGCAACGCGTCGGGCAGAGTTGCAGGTGACATCATCCCATTGGAAGTCATCTAGAACTCCACTGAAGAAGTCAATGGACACAACTCATTGAGCAGAGTTTCAGATGAAGTCACCCAGTTAGACAAATCAGGAAAATCTGAGTTGTCAGTGAGACATCTGCTAGAAAGTTAAAGTCCTGGGCTTTAACGGTGCTGCTACAGGAGGGGGCGGAGACAAGACCGGTCACCCTGCACAAGGAGAGAGATCAGCAGTGAGCGTCCTTTATTACAGGAGGGGGCGGAGACAAGACCAGTCACCCTGCACAAGGAGAGAGATCAGCAGTGACCGGTCTTTATTACAGGAAGCTCCAAGTGTCCCACTGGATTACTGCACAGATCTGGAATAAATACACAAAGCTCACCAAGATTCCAGGAAGAATACTCATGACTCTTGTATGAGGACAATATTTGCTTATCCCCGAGTTTAGCTTTAATTATCAAATCATGTGCAAGCTAAAATTGTGCTTTTTTAATGTTCCGTGCACATGATTGAATATTCTTTGCAAAGTGAATTTCATTTTGTTTAACCCCATTCACTAAGATAAGTGGAAATTCACTTTGAAAGTGAACATTCTCTACTCCTTCAGTCATTGATCCCCACCTACTAATGTTGGAAATGTAACCCAGACTGGTGAAGTC